CTATCCACTGGTAGTCTAGGTAGTTCATCCGGAAACATATATGAAAAGTCTCAGACTACCAGAATCTCTTGAATACAAATTTTTTTCTTGGATTTGCCTAGTTAGATAAAACAACTGAGTTAAAGTACTTGATAATAAGAAAATTTGTCATATGGGAACAAATATTAAGTGATTTCATTAATTTGTAAATGACTCCTCATTAGGAGAGTTCAATACAACTTTCTTGCTAAAACAATCTCCAGTGGTGTGATACGCTGCTAGCTAATTCATTCCTAAAATTACATCAAAGTCCCCCGTGTCAATTTTTATTAGGTCCACACTCAATTTTCTATCTACTATATCTATGACACAAGACCTGTATACAATCTCCCCTAGTAGTGTCCTACTCCCAGGAGTAGACACAAACAACACAGAATCAAGTTTTTCAGGTGATACATCGAATTTTGATGCAAAAATATGTGAAACAAATGAATGCAATGCACCAGTATCAATCAAAATATGAGCAAGATGATTACATATAGTGTACATACCATGTACCACGTTCGGGTTGGCTTCTGCATCCTACTGAGTGAGATTGTAAGCCCTACCCTGGATAGGAGGTCTGGCCTGGTTCTGATTCCCCGAGCACTCCCTTGCATAATGTTGGGCACTACCATATATGCGGCAGGGGTTGTTGAGGCGATTGCAGGGTCAGTCCCTATGATCCTTGCCACAATGCTGACAAATATTGCCGCGTCCTGATGCTGGAATATGAGGGGGAGCCTGAGTCATCGGCCTAGGTCTCTTGTTCTGTTGAACAAGTGCAGTAGGTGCTGGTCTGTGGTGTGGAGCTGAGGGCCTGAGGTTCCCTACTACTTGAGGAAAGGTGCGAAGGCTCCTCTCCGCTAACTGTGTCTTGGCCAGAACAGCCGAATAAGTACTGAGCTCGAGCACAAACAACTGTTGTCTGATCTCAGGATGGAGACCCCACTCGAACCTTCTAGTTTTCCTACCTTCATCCATCATGCTCTCATGAGAATATCGACCTAATTCTAAGAACTTACAAGCATATTCTGATACAGTCATGTCCCCCTGGACCAAGTGTGCAAACTCCATCTCCTTCAGATATCGGAGATGCTCTAGGAGGTACTCTGCATGAAAGGCTGTCAGGAACTATTCCTAAGTGACTGGAAATGGTGGGGTGGCCTGTTTGAGTTGCCACCAATGGTTTGCTTCTCCCATTAGCATGTAGGTAGCAAGGATGACCTTCCGTTCAAGGATCACCTAAAGGGTCTTGAAGGCCTTCTCTGTCTCAGATAACCAGAACTCGACCTCTTCAAAGGAGAATCCCCTTGTAAAAGTAGAATGATTTAGTCTTTTATACCTTTCTATGTAGTCTGGGTCCATCATGAGAGGAGCTGGGTCCCATGGATAAGGGGCTGGGCTGGGTTGAGGATGAACTGGATGGCTCTACAGTGGTACTTAATGATACGGTGGAGGCACCGGATTGTACTGTGGTGGTGCCGAGTGATGTAGTGGCTAGGGCACCAAATCATACTGTGGTAGTACCGGGTGGTACTGTGGAGGAGTAAGGTCATATCGGGGTGGCTCGGGATCTTCCCGCTGTAGAGGTGGCTTAACCTGTGACAACGGGGGAGGGTCAGGTAGCTCCCTCCTTTCCTCCCGGGCTTGCTGGGCAGCAATAAGTCTTTCCACCATCTAAAATAACCGGTCAACATCCTCTCTAAGCGAACCCTCTCGGGCTGCTCGGTTTAGTGGGGGTCTTTCTCTCCTCATCTATCTGCACCTGCATTTCACAAGAAAATGTTGAGTGACAATTCATTATTTTCGGTGTTTTCTAAGGGTTTTATATAAGGAATGGGTCTGAGAAATGCGGTTCTGATACTAATTGTAACGACTCCGAAAATATTCAAAAGAAATAAATAGTAATTAAAGTACGGAAGCAAAATAAATATTCAAGATTTATATTCCTTACACAATAACTTAAAGTATCAATTAGTGTTCCAGAATTTACAATTTTGAAAGAAATACAAAGAAATAAGGAAATGAATGAAAAATAAAAAAAAAACTAGCGTTCTACTCGCAATCCTCTTACAGATCGGGCTCTGGATCCTGATCTTCTTAATCTGAAATAGTTAAATAATGTATGAGCTACACTAGTCCAGTAAGAATATTATACTATATCACCGACACATAAATAAAAGTTGATAGAAAATAAAAACAACTAATGGAGCACTAAATTAAACAAATTCATTTATCAATAATAAAATTATTTACCGTCCGCTTACTGTTGTGAGATTTATAGAAAACAACCTATAGAAAATTATAACATTATGATTCTATATATAATTGGCAACATAATACATATTATACTTTCACATTCGAATCATCAAACAATAATTGCCCCTTTTTCAACCAGTCTGTTGGTATCTATGGGAGTTCATAGGGATGTCCCCACTACGCGTGAACCTTTTTCTTTAACATTCTCAATTACGGGTCATTCCCATACCCCGTCCAGTATGAGCACCAAATTATCAAACCTCAATACCTCATCTGGTATAAGGGTGAAGTGGGTCGTCTTCATACCCCGTCCGGTATAAGTGTCAAGTTACCAAGTCTCCATACCCGTCCGGTATGAGACACGTTCATGGTAGGGTTCCCTGTGTACCTGGTCCGTCCACTATCTCCCAAGATGTCCAGTAAGGCTGCCGTTTCATCTAATCACTTAATCACACAAGTTTGTTGTTTACCTTTAACCTCCATTTTTTAAATTCAATCATAAACACGTAAAACAACAATACATGCATTCAATACTATAAAATAAATCAATAAGGTACTATCATACATTTAAACTGTAAAAACAATCAACAGAAATCAACAGAGAATAGTTTCCGGTTCTGGCTCCATTAGCAATCCGTAATTAATCATGAACATTTACTAAATTGTATAAAATATCATATTTATTGTTAATTAAACTTCAGTTCTATAATAGAGAATAGAGTGAGGGATTCTTACTCAATTTGATGCCCGAAAGACTAAACTATTGACTGCATCCACTAGCAGTTTCCGAGTTTCCTGAATTTTTCTTCAGGAATAGAAACGTGCTATAAGTACCTACAAATGTCCCAAACAAACCCTAAATCAGTCTCAGGGCCCATTTTGGCTAATATTGGGATTCCGACACAGTGGCTTCGCCGTGTTCTGGCAATGGTGCCACCGTTCGCGACAGCAGTCCGCCCCGAGTCGACTGTTTTCGACCGATTTCGCATCAATCCCTGCGAGAAAACATGTTAAAGGGCCTCGGTTGGCCCAAAAAAAATACAAAAAACTGAAACTCACTGGCGGCGGGACTCTCGTGTGCGATGGCTCCTCCGACTCACGTTGCGGTTGGGTGTTTTGCTTCGGTCAACCTGTAGGGAAGGAAACGGTGATCACAACGGGAAAAATATTACGCAGAACGGGAATCAAGAAGGGCCTCATCGGAGGTGTTTTGTGAAATTCTCCGCGGCAGCGCTGCCAGGCTTTGCCCACATTTTTCAGCCAATCAGCCGGTCTTTTTGCTCCGATTTGGTTATGGGTGTGTTTAAAATCGAATTCAGAGCAAAAAAATTTTTTTTTACCTCTTTTGGCTGTCGAAAAGGGCTCTGGCACGGCGACGGATGGTGGCGGTCTGCTTCCTAGCGGCTGGGTCTTCTTCTCCGGCGAGGGGGTCTGGCGACTAAGGTTAGAGTTTGGTGTGGATGGAGGTTATTTATATTCATCTGCTTTTGATCTAGACCGTCCATCGCGTTTGATCTGCACCGTCCAATCATGATTAAATAGTGAGTAAATGTGGGTCGTTCATCGCGATCTAATATGTACTGTCCGATCGCGTTCAAATCTGGCCGTTCGATCACGTTTGGGGAGGAAACGCATCTGGGCCATTCGTGCGCGCGGGAACGGATCTGAGCCGTTCGATTGCGGGCAAGTGGATTGCCCACGTGGCACCATGTCAGCATCCGCTGCCACGCGGCGCGTCCTCGTTCTTCAGAGCTGCTGACCGGGCATCCTGCGTGGCAAAACTTCTCTAAATTATATTTTGATTCCCGATTTTCGATTTTTCTTTTAAAAATAGCCACAAAATCCAAAATTTCACCTTTTTTCTCAAAATTATTTTCAATTTAATCCTCCATCAATTTTACTTTATTTTTACTTTGGATTAAATTTAAAATATTAAAAAATTAAGAAATTATATTTATAAATAAATCCTAAATTATATTAAAAATTAATTTAGGGTATTACACATATAAACAATTCTATTTTAAAAAAAAAATACAAAGAAAAAGAGTCTTTTTTTTTTTCTTTAAGAATAAGAACAACTTCATAGATCAAATTGGATTAAAAGCATTATATACCCAAATAAGAAGTTAAAAAAATCAAGAAATTTTAAATTACATATTCCAACTTGAAAATTACAGATATTCTGAATCCACAAAGCAATGTCATAGTTTATATATTTAAAAAAATAAGATGACATAAATTAAGAACAAAGGGAAAATAAATAATGTATAGAAATCTACTCTCAAAGAAAAATAAACAAAAGTCTATTTAAAACTTCAAACACACATTGAAATTGTAGGCCAATTTATGGCCCATGAACTTTTAATAATTGTTTCGCTTTCTTTTCTTTTAGATTTTGGTATTTTATGCTTGTCATTTAGGACTTAACATAAATTAAATTTAATGAGTAAATAATTCAGATTAATTTTGATTAATTTGTAATCCTCAGACATTTGGTAATTTTATTATTCCTCAATTTAAATTCTTTTTGTGACAGTTTGATTGATCAATTCATTCAATCAAAATTTAAGCTACCCCACAATTGAATTGAATTGAATTGGTACGATGGATCAAAAAACTTTATCAAACATTTATTATTTACTGTAAATTTGATGAACATAAACTTCTTTTTTAGCATAATTTAATATTCAAGAATTACCCTCTGTCAACCCTTTTGTTCCATGCTTCTATACAAACTGGTTTTTCTGTTCAAGAACCAGAAATCGGAAACAGCGCCTACTCCCACCTCCATATCTTTTTTTTTTCCATTTTCCAATTTCCTTGAACAAGGAGCAATTCTATATGTAAATATTATTAATCTATACACATTTCATATGTAAGTGTGTGCTCTGTCTCAAAATCAACAGGACACTCTTCTTCTGCTCTTTCCATCGCCATTTTGTCAACTTGTGCGGCCTCTAGTTTTCTGTGTCTACAGAACTTTTATGAACGCTCTCAAATGTCCAAACGATAAAACTTTCACCATTTTTTTTCTTCTCCTCCCTTTTCAGACATTCTTTGCCTCTAACTCCCGACTGTTGCTTGTCCTTTGTTTATGACAGCTCTTCTCTTGCGATTCTTGGTTTGCTCAACTACTATAAATTTCTGGGTAAGTTCACTCGGCTCATCTTTTCTTTCCTTCTTTCTTCCTTCTTCTTCGTCTTTAATGCCTTCTATAGAATCTTTTTTTTTTGGCGCTGAAGTAGTTGCTTTAAGTGGGAAAAATAACTTTTTTTTTCCTGCGATTATAGGTGAATAATTTATTTTTATATGTTTATATAAAGTTACTTCATCGTCTTAAGATGGTCATTTTATTTCAACTTTCTAAGTTTTGGTTGCGGGTGTAGAGATTTACATCTTTAAACTTTAAAGTTGGTTCCTTTCCAGATTCCAGCTTCAGGGTTTGATGGATGCTAAACCCAGTTCCAATGCTCAAAGAGAAAAAGCAATAAACGTGGTGGAGAGAAAAAGCGGTAATGGAGAAGTGGTGATAACAGTTTCAGGCGAAGGAAAAGCTCAAGACCCAAAAGTCTCTTCTTCTGAATGTTTAGGTCCTGGAGAGAGCAGAGAGGATTGCTTGCCCACGGCAGCAGGAGAGTCTATGCTGATTAGCTGTTCTTCTCCAGAGATTGCAAGGTTCAGTCCAAGCTCAAACAAGCCACCCAAAATCCCCACTAGAAATGAAACCCTTACTCGAAGAAAATCACTTGCAAGGTCTTTACACTCAAAACCCAAGTCAAGATTTGTAGAACAATCTTATGCTGTTGATCCCAATACGCTTGATGAAGATGACATTTTAAGTCTAAGAGAACAGATAGGGGCAAATTCACCTTCTAGGCATTCTTTTGATAGGGGCTCCCCAAATAACATTTCTGGGAGAAGTATTAGGACGAATTCAATGACCCCCAAAACTCCTCTTGTGCCACATCCTGGGGAGGATGAGAATGACGATGAGGAGATTTACAAGAAGGTTAAACGGAATAAAGAGAAGCGTGGGAGAGTGAGTGCTAAACTTTCAATAGAGTTAGTTTTATTTGCTTGCTTGGTAGGGCTTCTTGCCGCTAGTTTAACCGTCAATACGTTGGAGAAGTTTGTTATTTGGGGTTTGGAGATTTGGAAATGGTGTGTGCTTGTGATGGTAATATTCTCTGGCATGCTACTTACCAATTGGTTTATGCACTTTGTTGTGTTCTTGATTGAGAAAAACTTTTTGTTGCAAAAGAAGGTACTTTATTTTGTTCATGGTTTAAAGAAGAGTGTTCAGGTTTTTATTTGGTTGAGTTTGATTCTTATCACATGGGTTTTGTTGTTCAAACATGGAGTAAAACGGTCGGATACTGCCATGATGTTTCTAAACTGTGTGACTCGGACTCTTATTTCTCTCCTCATTGGGGCATTCTTGTGGCTGGTGAAAACTTTATTGCTAAAGATCTTGGCTTCCAGTTTCAATGTCAACAACTTCTTTGATAGAATTCAGGAATCAGTCTTCCATCAATATGTTCTGCAGATCCTCTCTGGACCTCCCCTCATGGAGGAGGCTGAGAGGGTTCATAGATCAGAAAGCACTGGACAGTTGAGCATCAGAAGTACAAAGAAAGGCAAGGAGGAGAAAGATAAGAAGTTCATTGATATGGCAACGGTTCACAAGTTGAAGCAAGAAAAGGTTTCAGCTTGGACAATGAGGACATTGGTTGAGGCAGTGAGAACTTCAGGGCTGTCTACAATATCTAATGCATTGGATGAAAGTGCTGTTGGTGATGGTGGTGAGCAAACGGATAAAGAGATCACCAGTGAGATGGAAGCAATTGCTGCTGCATACTACATTTTCAAGAATGTTTCTCATAATGGGCGGTTAGAAAAGATCAACTCTTTTGTGATGCTCCTGATTTATTCTCTTTCCTTCCTTTTCTAACTTCTCTGCTTATAAACTTTTTCTTTTTACTGACAGATATATTGATGAGGATGACCTGCTGAGATTCATGATTAAGGAGGAGGTGGATCTTGTATTTCCATCCTTTACAGTATCAGAGACTGGACAAATAGACAGGAAATCTCTGACAGATTGGGTGGTGAGATTCTATCCTTTTCCTTCCAACCCCCACTTCTCCTCGCTAAAATTTTTCTGCATCCATAATTTTGCAGAAATGGCAAATTTTGCAGAAAGAGAATATAATAGTTTACTTATAAGTTTTAGGTTTTGACATGACAATGCAACTGGACAACTAGGAAAGATTTTCCATTCTGTTCTACCTTTGGGAAACTTATAATGATGTTCAAACGATTTGGAGGAGATTATAATAGTTTACCTCTCTGCAGCTGTAATAACTTGCATACTTCTATTGTAAAGTCTTTTAAGTCTTGACAACACATGCAGGAAAAAGAAATCTCAGTTCTGTGTGCATAGATTTCTTAAATTTCAATACTAGGCAAACAGCATCTGTTTTACTTGAAATGCTTCTAATAGTATTCATCAATATATACTTTTGGAGATTTGATTATGGGTTTAATCTGAAAAATATGAAAAGGACGACCATCTGCAATGTGATCAATATATGTACTGCTATATGGGTGGATTATGCAATAGAGAATGCAGTGAGTAGTTGTTCCAAACAACCAGCTGCAATAGCAAACTAACTTCCATTTTACTCTTGATTTGTTTGCCTTGTACAGGTGAAAGTTTACAAAGGCCGCAAAGCATTAGCACATGCTTTAAATGACACCAAAACAGCTGTAAAGCAGTTGAACAAACTTGTTTCAGGGATTCTGATTGTTGTGACCATTATTATATGGCTTCTTCTGATGGAAATTGCAACAACGAAGGTGATTTTGTTCCTCTCATCGCAGCTAGTGGTGGTGGCTTTCATATTTGGAAACACCTGCAAGACCATTTTTGAAGCTATTATATTTGTATTTGTGATGCATCCATTTGATGTTGGTGATCGTTGTGTTGTTGATGGCATCCAGGTAACTTCTTAATGATTCTTGTTATTTATAATTATTGGAGAATTTGGTTATTCCAGGGTTTTTACATGGTATTTGGCAGTTGTTGGTTGAAGAAATGAATATCTTAACAACAGTATTCCTGAAGCTTAATAATGAGAAGGTATTCTATCCAAATACGGTTTTAGCTACGAAGCCTATCAGCAATTACTATAGAAGCCCAGAGATGGGTGATACCGTGGACTTCTCTATTGATTTTGCAACACCATTGAAGAAGATTGGGGATCTAAAAGATAAAATAAGGAAGTAAGTTAGCAGATGCTTATTCTTTGTTTTCGTTTTACTTGATAGAGGATTGTATTCGTGGTGGCTGATTATTTTGATTATTTCAGCGAGTTTCCTTATGCTTGATCACTAATTGTTTCTGCTATATTGTTTCGTTAGTGGAGCTTGCTGTGGTTTTTCCTTGCCGTTTTTTAGCATTTAATCCTCAATGTTAAGATATACTTTTTGTTCTTAGTTTCTACTTGATTATCTTGTTGAGCAGCTATTTGGAGAAAAATTCTCAACATTGGCAACTTAACCACAACGTGGTGGTGATGGAAATCGAGGACGTGAACAAGTTAAAGATGGCTTTGTACTGTAATCACACAATAAATTTTCAAGACTGGGGCGAGAAGAACAGGCGAAGAACAGAACTAGTGATTGAAATGAAGAAAATGTTCGAGGAACTGGGTATAAAATACTATCTCCTTCCCCAACAAGTTCATCTCAATCGTATTGGACCAGAATTAGCAGCTGAGATAGCTCGTGTTTGAAGAATGGTTTTGATCATGAACCGTAAGTTTGTACATTTTCTTTAACTGATCTTATACTTTGAAAACTTAAATGACAAGAGCATTGCCACTTACTTTGTTATAACAGGAATTCTCAATTTCAGCCTATGGATTGCGAAGAATCAGCAGATGCTACAAGGAAAGAATGTCGAATTGATTGGTAGAGATGTAGCTGTTTTGTTATGTGTAACTTTGAAAATGAATGAATCGAACACGAGAAATTGAAGAACCCTATTTAGAGAATGTACCAAATGAGCTGAACCCAGTTGGTTGCCGTAACCGTACTTTTAAGTCGTGGTTAGCACTTTATTAGTATCTTGAGCTTGTGTCATATAGCAAGCATCGAAAGTTATTCAATCTATTAGGTTGAAAATTTTGTTAGCTCTTATGACTTTATATCTTATTAGGGTTGTATTAGGATGGTGAATGGTTTGGACTTGGTTATGCTTTTGCATTATATTGTGTTTCAAAGTTGTTGATGAATTTTTGTGGTATATTTATTGTTTATAAATTTTAACATAGTTATTAAATATGATTTGACTCTAATTATGATAAATCAATCAGCATAATTTACAAACTTATTGGTTGTTTAATAATTGAAGTTAGTAAGTCAGACAAGCTGACCTACTTGGACTTTTTCCTAAGAAGAAGAAACTTTAGATGTTAATATATTCTAAAATGGTAAACTAATTAAAGAGTTTAATCAAGTGTAGATTAAGAAGATAATTGTTTATCACACAGTTGAATAGTTAGAAATTAGTTTAAGCCCAAAAAATTGATTAAAAGATTTTTAATAAATAGATGAAAATAACATTAATTGGACAATCATATGACATCATTTAGGCTTTTTTTTTTAAAAAAAAAAAAAGGAGATAGGCATTCAATAAAAATCTAATCTTAAAGTTGGGCAAAGAAATAGCTATGTTAACTAATCCGGAATGAGATAAGAGTAGCACTTTCCTAGATAAAGAAGGAGGTACAATATATAGTTACTATGATTTCTGAATTTCCATTATCACAAAAGATATGCATGCTTATTTTCAATGAGATTAAAAAAGAAAATTGGTTGGATTTTGGATGTTGATTGGGAAAATTTTTAATTTTGGGTGCGTCTACCCTCCTATGCATGCTTAGGAAAAAAGACGTTTTTCTTAAATTTCCTCCCTTTCAATCACAGACAACCCAATCCATGTCCATGGCTAAATCTTCCAACTTACGATAAATGGCAAGTGACTTGAAAGTTCATGCGAGAGATGGGCTGTGCCAACTAGGTGGCTAAAACTATATCATTAATTCCACAAGCATAGCCATCTCAAAAACAAATATTATGATTAGCCAAGCAAATTATGTGTGAGGATGCGTCAGTAACCAGCAACAGATGGGACTCAGGAAAAGAGTTAACACAGAAGTAGTAATTAGATTAAAAAGCCACTTTCTTTTAACCATAGATGGTATCTAACATACAATTCTACAGAAAATTTGATGCTTGATCGAGATAATTAAGTTGGACAATAATTCTTCTATAAATTCTCTGGCTACAAGATTGATCATACATGAAATCCATTCAAGCATTTAAAACACATGTTCTCCTACCATAACTGAGAAACCACTTAAACTGAAATCTACACAATCCCTTGAACTAACAAAGTCATGCCAATCCAAATAAAGGCCAGTATTGGTATGACATTCACTTTCCCCTGTAATATTAAACAACAAAATTGTTTCAGCAAGATAAATAGGAACATAGAGAGAGAGAGAAAGAGAGAGAGAGAGAGAGAATCTCTGCAAAACAGAAATGATAACTTCAGTGTCACTTACGTGTTCATCATGAGGGTTATGTTGTCTCCTTTAAGAAGAATTCTTCCTAGGAAGATAGAAAAAGATAATTCAGAACATCTAGTTAGGAGTGAACAGATAGCAGCTTGGTTTTCGATGAGGGAGTAAGGAGAGACTAACAAAGTAAGACTATGTACCAAGTGATTTTCTGCTCTTTTTCTTGATGTTCACTTCTTCGGCATCATCCAGAACTAGATTCATGTATTCATCAAAACCCTGCATATGCCAAAAGTATAATCATAAAAAAATCATATTCAAATTAAATCAGGTGATAAACAAGTTAATTATTGCCTTATACAAATGTGACCATATTGAAACTTGGAGTATTCTAACTTATGCATTATAATTGTGATAATATAAAAACTTCAGAATATTCTTGAATCCTGTTGAGATGCCTCTCTCTCCCTAGCTGTTTGAAATTGTATTGCTATAAGTTATCCTTTCTGGTTAACCTTTCTAGTTTCATTTTTTAAAAATAATGAGTAACACTTATATGTCCATTTAAATTATGCTCTGTCAAATATTACATAAAATTTTCATCCACCTTTGCAGGAAACTCAGAAGAGCTCAAAATATGCAAGCTTTGGAGATATGAGCACCAATGTGCTAGTAACGATACAAACAATGGTCCTTTAACTACCTTAAAAAGCAAGTATCAATTCTTTCTTTTGAGCAAGTTTGGACTTAAAAAGATCTAGTATGTCAACATGCCAACAAAATCGAAGATGGAGGGTGATGCCTCCTAAGAATATGTTAGCAAAGACTGAGCAGAGTCTCATCTATAAACTATTATCAGAAACCACCTGCACAATAAGAAATTCTGTTGGTGTCATTGTCACTAACTATTTAACTACTTTTGCTAGATTTCATGCATATAGTCAATGCCAATATTTTCTTAACTCATGACCATACCGAAGCCAGTTAGGATATTCAGTAACTTGTCATTCAATAACAAATTTCCTCCCAACTGTTATTCATCTAAATCATACATCTTTTGCCAAGTATCTTAGGGCGTATTCTTAACAACTACATCTAGAAGTTTCTAAAGACAACTTGGCTGGCCGAGTAAACTCTAAAAAAGGGGAACATACATATCATGCAGTAAGTAAAGGAATGATGTAACAAACACAGAACAAAATCTGAAAGTCCATATCGACATTTTACAGATACTAAATAGAACAAATTGAGACCCGCAGAGAAATGAACCAAGGATGCAAGCGACAAGAAACTTACAATTATTCGTCCTTCAATCCTCAAATCTTTCTGCTCAAATAGCCAAATCTGAATGCGAGCTTTCTGCATAAATTTCAACCAAATAAATGAACCAAAAGGAAGCAAGAGACTCATCAACTCCCAGAAAATCTAACAAAATTAAGAAACCCCAGAAGAAATCATTAAATTTAGCTTTTTGGATTGCTCAAAATACAAAGCACAAAAAAGGGACCATATCTACAAACCAAAACAGCTAAAACAATTAAAAAATAAATAAAATTAATGGAACAGAGAACTTACACTTTGAAGAAACCTGAAAATCAGGTTCTTTCGGCGCAGGAATCCCGATGTGACAACAACAGAAAATAAAATCAGCGAATGCAGAGAGCAGTTAACTAAACTAAGTAACAAATAAAGTGAAGAAACTTGAAGGAGAATGATTGAAGCCATACAATGGGTTGGGTCATAATCCTCTGTACTTTGGTGCTCGCCATGGCTGAAGTTTGTTGTGGTTTCGGCGCTAAAATTATTGAACGAGAGATGCAGAAGCACAGTCAAGCACAAGAATCAATGTAACTTTATTCAATCAGTTCAACTCCATACAGCTTTTGGAAGCTAAACAAATTTATTAAACTTGAAACAAGGACTGCACAAATAAATTAATCAATCCAAGACCAGAAAACCAGAAAATAGCGTTTATTTGCGTGCCTCATACAGGCACTAAGAAAAGAATCAATGAGAAACCTATATAAAGCAGCTTCAAACGTAAGAAAATGGAGAGAATAAAAGAATATAAACGGGATTCGAACAGTTACCACTGCAATCTCTTTGTTGAACACAATACGTTACAAGCCGAAGCTCCCGGATTGCTTGAAGAAACAGAAAACAGCAGCTGCACCTGGAGCTGAGGGCGAGAGGAAAGGGAAGGGAAGGGAAGGAGAGGATCTGAGAAGGAGGAAGAGCGAGAAGGTGACCTAAGAGAAGAATGAGGGATTAGGGCAACGAGGGAAGAGAAGAATGGGCTCAATCGTCATTAAGCCCGTTGTTTGTTCCTTTTTACTTACAAGCCCAATTACGTCATTCCTCATTTTGTGTAATTTACATTTATGCCACTGTTCTAATGGATATTTAAAAACTGTTAGAATGAGAGGTTTATTTAAATATTTTAGAAAATAAAAGGGTCAAAATAAATTAAAAAATAATACAAATAGTATAAGGATCATCTGCATATTTAAGCTTTTTATATTATTATTATATTTTTTAATAGATTTTCTTGCCATCATGCAATAAAATTTAAAATTTCAATAATGTATATGATTTTCCATAAACATACATAATAAAACGTAACATAAAATTAGTATAATATTAGTTTTTGGTGGATAGAGTTTCATACTTTTTGACAAAAAAAAATAAAATAAAAAAATAAATTTTAAGTCTAAAGCATCTTAATAAATGAAGTTCTTTCAGGTTTCTAAGTTTTTTATGTTAAATTTAAGACAAACGTACAAATGGTCTTTTTTTTTTTAAATATTTAATTGTGCGATTATAACTTGTATTATGAATTTAAAAAATAATATTAATATAGTTATTTTTTATAAATATTTTTAATAAAAAATTATTTAATATTTTACAGAAATAATTATTAAGTGATAGCACTTTAAAAAAATTATATATTCAATAGAAATAATTTTTTAAATTTTAAAAATAAATTTTATATAAAAAGTTCAAATTATTTTTTAAAAGCTACCCCAACATTAGCGAAGACATAATTTTAGCTTGAAAAGGAACAAAAGTTTAGAAGATAAGCGGACAAACATAAATCAACGGTACTTACTTTGTCAGCGAACTACATTTCTTGCTGACCCAAAATTTACTGATAGTGCTAGCAATGTACTTATGGCTAAACAATTGATAATGATTTTGAATGAATTATTTGAGCAACCATCATTATTCCTCATCCAAAATATATATGAATAGGCTGGATATCTAAAATTTATAAATATTATAGCAATTGTTGTTGAGTCGCATATATATATATATATATATATGCCGCCCAATGAAGACAACAAATACAATTTGGCTAAAAACCAAGTTTGAACAACTATATTGATTGATTATGTTTGGAGAGATCTTTAAATTCTGCTAGTTGATTTATACATTTCCCTTTGAAATCTGTACAACAATTCCCTTTCAATCACGGCGACCTAATCCATGTCCATGGATAAACCTGGCATCTTCCTCAGTGTATACATGAGTTTCATTCAACAGCCTGCAATAATAACCAAATAAATCTTAGCATTGAGGAAGAATAAATAAACTACTTGATAATCAGAAAACCTCAGTTCATATTTTACATGCTGTATGGAATATGTTCAATTTAATTGAAGAATATGAAACTTGATTCGAGAATAAAAGGATCTTCTCTTCATTTAATATTTCAAAAATGTAAATTAACTTACGACAAAGAAACAGTCTTGTTCATGATGGAAGACGAGAGGAACGAAGCACCATTTAAGTATAGTAGTTCACCACAAACTCTATCCTCAATCCTTCTATCAATTTCCTCAGCATTTATGGAGAAAGGTTGATCTGAGGCCTAAATAAGAACAAAATCTACTTGTGTAAACAAGTGCGTAGAGGAACTATAAAATTATATCAAACAAATTCTGCATTTACTCACAATGACCCATCCCCAAGTATCTGCAAACGATGGAACATGGGCCGTGTATGCCATCACATCTGCATATATACATACACACCACAGGATAAATTATATAATTATTTACATGAATATTTTATTATCTAAATAATTGTGATATTTTTCTTATATTAATTTTATTATTAATTTCTTATAATTATTTAAAATTCCTATCACAAGAAAAATTTTCTTATTTATATTAAGAATTCTTATATATATATATATATATGAGTTATTTGTAATATCAAAAAAATAATAAAAATAAAGTAATTTTTTTTCTAAATTTCTACATAGTATCGGAACAATAATAAAGGTATTTTTAGATTTTACTTCAGGATCTTTTTTCAAACCTTAGAATCTTCTCACTCCCCAACGAAGTTTTCGCTTCACCAGCAGCCGACCGCCCTATTCCGGTGACCTACTCCACCCTACCCGATCCCTCTACTCCGGCCACAACCTGCTGTTCGTGCAGCTTCCTCATGTAGAGCCTCTGTTTGCGGTGTTTCTCTTTTCTGGCCGCACCCACTCTTCTTGATTCTTTTGTTCGCGCACGGCCGATTTGCGCTGCTCCTTCACGCATGGGTGTTTGGTTCACGACGTCTTCTCTTCTGTCGCCTAATGCTACAAATCCTGGTGCTTCTTTGATTTGATTTCGCGCACCAGAAGCTCAACACAGCCTTTTAGTTTCGCACACTGCATTTTGTGTGCAAGATAGACTGCTCAAGTTCAAGCTGCGCGATTCCTCGCACCAGCAGATCCTCTTCCCGCGGCCGCGTGCGATCTGTCTTTTTTCAGCTGTGTGACCGTGTTTGGGCGAGCACCAACGGGTCTGCTCGTTTTTTTGCCAGAATTCGATCGCAATTTGGTCTCCTGTGGTGCGTGCCTACCTCTGTCTTAGTCTCCAGACTTGTCTCTCTCGGATCCGGCTCTGGTTCTTTTGTCTCGTTGGACAGACTTGTCTCCAATGATCTCCTCTGGTCTCGCAGCATTTTTTGGTCTCCATTGAGTCGGAACATTTTTTGGCATCCTTCGCATTTTTTTTCTATTTCATTGAAATTAGCAGATGGGTATAGTTCTTTCTCTATCGATACATCAAAAATAGTAAACTCAGGTACTGCTCCTCTCCTTATTATTTCTAATTCTGATACTTGAATTATATACTCTTAAGATAACATATACATGACAGGCTCTTCTAAAGATTTTCTTACCTATTTTTTGTGTACTCAACAGGGTGGTTTGGTCGCCGATGGATCATGTACTCTTGCATCTGGAACAGGTTCTATTAATTGTACTCCAACTATTCTACTCATTTCAATTCTTCATATACCTAGTTTTTCTGATAGTCTCTTATTCATTAGTGCCCTTACTAGAGATTTTAACTATAAAATTGAGTTTTTTTCTAACCATTGTGTCCTTCAAGATCTTCAAATAGAAAAGACGATTGGTATTAGTAGACTACAGGATGACTTATATGTCTTAAATAGAAGTCAAAACGTCATTGGGAATCAAACTGCCTTCAGAGATACGGATGTTCATAGGAAAATCCTACAGTTGCATCGACGGTTAGGACATCTTTTTTTTCTTTACTCTAGAAAAATTATATCCCACATTATTTAAAAG